CACACACACACACACACACACACACACGGAACTCTACTTGTATGAAACTGAAGTACGGTGGTAGCAACTTTGCAGTCCACTCTTGGAGCAATGTAACACAGTATTTCAATTATTTTTCTTCACAGTTTGCTCCCTACTACACTTTAGAGCTGGAACCGCCAGCACAGGTGTCCTAATCTATCAATGTTTTTATGCAGGACGCTGTGAATCGGCGCCACGTATCTCGCCACATCGCCATCCCGTGAGAAATCCCTGCAGAACAGACCCTTCTCTGAGCTGAAGACAAACTTCTGGGGCATTGGTCCATTGCCTCTCACATACTCCCACACAGCCAGGAGGAGCAGCCGCACCTCAAAGGGAGTTAGGTGGGGGAAGGCTTCGTGGACGTTGGCCAGCACAGGAGGCAGGAGCTGGCCTTCTCCCATGCAGGACACCAGGAGGCAGGAGGCTTGGAGGTGCCATGGGGAGTCTGTGGATGACATCTCGCGGGACGCCTCCCAGTGGGCTAGCAGAGTGGCCAGGAGGCCTCTGAGCACAGCTGAGCAGTAGCAGAGAGCCGGGCGTCCAGCTGCCACCACCTGTAGTAGAGGGAAAATCACTGGGTGGGCCTCAAAGCTGCGTCGAATGTGGATGTCTCGCTCCACCGTGGTGCGGGCATGCTCCTCTGGGGGCCAGGACAGCTCCCCATTGGCCACATCCGGACAGACATTTTCCACCAGTGTGATTGCAACAACCTTGGCTGCCTCAGCGTTGATGGGCGACGGCTCGTCAGGGTTAGATGGTGGTCGTGAACCGTTGATAGATCCGTTGAGACCATAGGAGCTGCAACACTGGACTACGACAGTCAGAAGAGTCTGGACATTCTACAGAGAGAGGAAATTACATATTTTCAGTCTTTTCTGTTGCAACACATGAAACCCAAAATACACATAAGCACAATTCTTATACAAATAAGTGATTGCATGAATTAAAATTGTATTATTGATCATTGTCACACAAATCAATATATTTGCAGTGTTTAAAATATACAGAGTGGACCACCTCTCTACAAAAAGAGCATTTCAATCTTGTGAAATGCTACAAAATGTAGTTTTAACTCTGTTACACTGCAACACAATTGTCAAACTCACCTGGATGACCCTAGATGGGTCAGGCAGCTGTGTGTCAGTGCGGACCTTCAACCCCTTGCCGATTACTCCAGCATGAAATACGGACCACACGCTACCAGAAAAGTTGACGGTGGTGCCAAACCGACAGTTGATGTCTAGCAGCGAGGCTCCGACGTCGGGGGACACAGAGGGGGCAGGCAAAGGGGCACCAGACATGTCAGCGATCTGCCCTCCAAACAGCTCAGCGTTGCCTTTATGTAGTGCTCCCTCAACGAGCTGCTGAAGCACTGCCTTCAGAGTGAGTGGAGAGTACGCTGCTAAACGGGACAGGAGCAGGACCGAACAGTTCACCGCCTCACCAGCCTGCCCGACATCTCTTCCCACCATACCACCTTCTCCTCTTCTCCGCAGTGCCAGAAAGAAATGAGTGACAGCAGCACGGGACAGCAGGAGCAGGTGTGCTGGCGAGGAGGTGCGAGGGAGGGGGCTACAGGATATGAGGCGCACTGTGGCATGAGATACAGCCGGGTCACCATGGAGAAGGAGCGGGCCGAAATCATGGAGGTGTACTGAGACTGCTGAGCCCACCTGGACAGCCATGGAGGACTGAGCGCCCCCTGATCCTCTTCTCTCCTCATCCTGACTCTGGATGGCTGCAGCCAGGTTAAGCAGGAGCTGCCTCAGCTGCCGGGGCCCCAGGGTGTGTGTGTGGATCTGGGCCACACAGCGAGTCACTGCAGCGGGAATGAGTCCTGCCATGCAGGAGGAGAGCGTGGTGTGAAGCTGCCAGGCCAGAGCCAGCTCCTCTGGGTTACGGGCCTGTGTGAATAGTTGGCAGAGGGCCTCTGTGGCCACACTGGGACCCCCACAGACTGAAAGAAGACACAGAAGCTGGTGCAGCCAGAGGTGACGTTTTCTCTCCAGTCGCAGCGTCTCAGCACACAGCTCACCTACATGAGACTGCAGCTCCTCTAAGAAAGGGATGACCCTCTGAGGTTGAGATGAAGCTGAGTGATGGTGTTTTCCTTCCACTCCATCTGAGCGGTTGAAAACCAGTTTATGGAGATGCAGAAGCAGCATCTGGAGGAGGCGATCACAACCTTCTCTGACTCCTTCATGAGGGGAGGGTGTTGGGCCAGAAATGATGACAGAGGCTGGAGTCGCTGTGTCTGCCAAAAATCGAAGGACCCGGGCCCCTCCTGATGGACTCTGGCTGATGAGATGGACAGCAAGACCTAGCATGTTATCCAGTTCTTCTCTGGGGAGGCCCTGCAGCAAGGCCTGCAGCTGGAGCAGGACAGGGGGGCGTAAGAGCTCTACCAGCTCTGCGGACACAGCACCAAAGAGGTTAGGGGACATTGCAGCCAGCTGCAGCAGAAATGGTACTGCAGCTCGACGGAGCTGAGGGGAACTCTCCCAGGAAGTGGAGGATGAAGTGGGAGAAAGGGGGCTCGATGGACTCAGGCTCTCCTGAAACATCCTGAGCAGCTCCTTCCTGATGCTGTCTGAGTGATGTGCTGCAAGGTGACCTAGGATTCCCACCACTGAGCCAATCTTAGGCACTCTGTTTCCTTTTTCTACTCCCATCAACATTACACCTTGGTCTTTGGCACCATGAGAGCAGAAATCCTTGAGTCCACACGCCAGGACTCGGCTGATGATAGTACCCGGGAAGGCGGACCCAATGTGTGCCACCACCCAGTCAAAATGCGGGGAGTGCTGAACCGAGGTGTCCAGCAACGCATCCACACAGGCGTCAGGGCACCACGCCAGCATGGCAGCCAAACACTGTGAGTAGGCCTCCATGAGTGACCGGGTGGCAGCACAAGACATCCAGAGCTGGAGCAGCTCATTGAGGCTGGAGGAGTGGGGGGCCACTCTGCGGCCAGCGTGCTTGCTGCTCAGCTGCCCCAACAAGTCCACAGCCCAGGAAGACACCAGGGGGGCCCAGGCCCGGGGGTTGAGCCGGATGAACTCTAATAGCACTCCATGGACTTCCTACAGACAAACAGAAAAGATTTAGACCATGTTCTGAAAAAAATCATTTTTCATATTGTAAATGACTTTGGCCTATAT